GATGGAAATGGTGAAAGGAGCCCTTTTTCCAGGGGTGGACACACACACACACCTAAAAACACATACCATAGGGCAAAAAACGGACATAGAACTCACCTGAAATAACATACATTCACCTTAATGTTGGATGTTGATGAAGTAATAGGGCCCTCTGATATGCTAAGTTATTGAACACATAGTTCTGTACCCCCTGTTCGGTTTGTGTTGTTGTAAGGCTCCTCTATTATGCTATTTTTTGGGGGCCTAATTTTATATTACAGTATCTAAACAATATGTAGGGTTAATTATAGTCCTTTAGAAAAATCAGGATAGTAGGCTTTAATACTACTAAGCCAATGGTTGGCTTGCTGAGAGTATTGTATAGGTTTCTCAAGTTCTTCTTCAAAACTCACAGCTTCCCAAAACCATCAATTCCCGAACCAATCCGTTATGTAAAGATTGCTCCTAAACAAATTTTCAAGGTAGTAGACCAGGAAGGCCCGTGCTCCTCAATAGTGAATTTGGTTTAAGGGTCCTCAATTGTGCAAAGGTTTTTCCTGAAGATAAATAACCATAGTAATTCTTAATACTACTAAGCCAATGGTTGGCTTGCTGAGAGTATTGATAAGTACAGGTTTCTCAAGTTCTTCTTCAAAACTCACAGCTTCCCAAAACCATCAATTCCATAATTAATCCTTTATGTAAAGATTGCTCCTAAACAAATTTTCAAAGTAGTAGACCAGGAAGGCCCGTGATCCTCAATAATGAATTTGTTTTAAGGGTCCTCAATTGTGCAAAGTTTTTTCTGAAGAAAATACATATAGTAATTCTTAATACTACTAAGCCAATGGTTGGCTTGCTGAGAGTATTGATAAGTATTCTCAAGTTCTTCTTGAAAACTCACAGCTTCCCAAAGCCATCAATTCCTTCATCAATCCTTTATGTAGTAGTATGAAAGGATTGCAAATACTACCTGATGATAAAGAATTTCGGAAAGGAAAATTTATACTACAATCAATTGCAAAAGGAATCCTCTTAGGAACCCAGATTTGTTTTGGTGGTAGCTTATTATAGAGTACCCCCCATTTGTTTGAGGGGTGGGGACTCAGGATCCAACATTAAGCAAAAACCAAGCCAATGATCGCTCCATAATTTTGGCCAAGGAACACCTGCGAGGGCCCTCCTATCACTCGGCACGGAACGGACGCTACTCCACACGGAACGACACGCGACTGCGCCACCGGTGTCTTCCGCGGCGGCGGGGACCGTGCGATGTACACAGGTTAAGTGACCTGAACTAGGACCCGTAACCTGAGGTATGTATAGGATAGGCTATAGGGCTCTTCAACCTCTGCTGAGATAGGGGAAAGGATAGGCACCTGTAGGTTCGGCAGAACCTGAGAGGTCTTGATCCCGTAGTGCTGGGGTGCATGTTCTGGTCATAGCAGTTTTCGGCGGTTCCATGTGTTCAATCTCCCAAGGAGGGTACTTCCAGAACCTTCCCATCCACAACTTGTGGGGTTCTAGCAATCTCTGTCGACATCGGCAAGAAAGGCCTCTCTCTACACACAAAAGGCAAGTGACACTCCTGACTGGTCAGAACTTTTAGCAAAAGACCCCTAGAAACGAAACAGAAAACGTGTACACTAGGTTCCTAATGAGACTATCACCCGCCGCCATGTGTTCTTTTTTGGGCGTTTTGGTGTTTGGCTATTTCACTTCGTGGTCGCCCTGGTCGTGTTGCGGGTCGGTCGCCCATGGTCGGTTGGTACTTCGTCATGCACGAACAAGTCCACCAGGCCACCCGTGGGCCCGTGGGGGACGAGTCGGGCACGGGGCGATTTGGGAGATTTTTGCAGCCCGGAGGTGGTCATCCCCATCTGAGAGGTGACTCAGGTGACACTATGTGACACAACTCTGAACTGGTCAACAAGCATGGGGTTTGCGAGACCGAAGGACCTAAGCATACATCGGACCAAGCATGGATGCATACCGGGATATATCGTTCTCTGTGTAAATGACATGGGGTCCTCCCAAACAGTCTTTGAACCTACTGTATCCTCTTATAAAAATACATTGCAATAGAAGCAATGTTGTAAATTGACTCACTTCAAGCATCACCAACATCTCCAAGAAAACAACCAAGAAATCTGAAATGGTCAAAACGCTTCTCGAATCTGAACCACAGCTCGCGCAGCCACTGCGACGAGGCGCATGCTTTTTTTTTCGTCGTTTGATGAGGCTCGTCCCGCGCCCCCAAGCACAAACGTTTGGGAGCAGTGTTCGTTGGCATGCTCTACCAATCTGTCTTAGTGCTGTACGCGTTGTCTATAGTGTAAGTGGATCAAGCATAGATTGGGTGGTCGGTTTGCTTCAAAAGTGCAAGCATGATCCAACACAACGTCAATGGCCTAGCAAATGCCTTGAGTGGATGAGTCAATGGACTTCTCACTTGTCTATCAGGACAAACCAGCCAAACTGTTCAACTCCATACCTGCAGAAGCTGCTATGTATATAAACTGATCCGCTGAAGAGTACCAGGGGGTTCTCTAGATGGGGAACCCCCCCTTTCTGCTTTACTTGTCATGAAACCCTTCGGCTTGAAACGTCGCTTAACGGTGTCATGTCGTCGACTCACTTCGCCATGCTTCGCCCAGCGACAACATCCGGACCGGCCTGCCGAGCAGCATTGGTCACAAGAATTTCCCACGAAACGCCACAAAAGCAGCCTTGTCTTTGCACGCAGAATAAACATGTTTAATGAATACCTTTCTTGAAACTTTCATCCCCACCATCATCGCAGTCCTGCAGTCCTTAGTATTATGGTGGGTCCTCAAAATTGAGTTCCAGCAGGTTCAACTTACCAAGGGCCACAGTCCAAAATGAGGGTCACCCCAGCAAACACCAAACGGACAGCAAGCAGTTACTGTAGATGCCCATCATTGAAATCTTCGCATCTGGTGGTCAGATGCAAAAAGAACTCTAAATGATATGGTTCACACATCATACCCTTCAATCTATAACACATGCATGTTAAATGACACACAATATACATTTGCATCTTGCCTAGATCGGGTGCATTCACTTCGGTCACTTCTTTACCTTCCAGGGTCCAGTTCCGCCGGAGTTCGCCGGAGTGCGTTCGGTCGAGGGCAACCGACGTGCCGGGTGGGTTCCACCCGACGCGCCTTGGTCAACTTGGTCATTTGAAGCTGTTGAAGTCGATGAAGTTCCCAGCGCCCCAGACCTGGTCTTTGCGTGCTGGCCGCTGGCGCGCCAAGACCGATATATGCAAAAATTGGGAGCGCAGGACGCGCGCGCGCGCCATCCGATATGAGCTATGAGGGGGGGTTGGTGATTTCTTAGCAGTCTTAGCTGTCTTCGACATGTTTAAGGAACTGGGAAAAAAGTCTGTCTATGTACAGTATCTTTCCCCAGAAGGATCCAAAAGGGAATTCAATTCACTCGTATAGGGGACTAAAGCAACAAAAACACACCAAACAAATCCAGGTACTAAACCAGGTAGATCTCTTCTCCAGTTGAGACCTACCTGAAATTTGTCCATCAGGAGTCCTAGGAGTTGGCGGAGTTGCCTATTTGTGTCCCATTGTTTCCTCCGGCTTGCTCATTCAACGGCATGGAGGGCAACCTTTCCTGCCCTGAGAAGCTATCCCATGCTATTCCTATCAATCTTTCATGCATCATCAGCGATCTCCCAGGTCACTCCTCACAACCAAGGAGAAACTGTCCACACTCATGGAACAGCAGTCAACTGTCACCGCTGCTACACGTCCCTGCAAAATCATCCATGGTGACGTGGACTGTCTGGCCCATGATTTCGGAGGACCCTAAAATCCGAAGACCAAACTGGTGCTTTTCATGAAACCATGATGGAAATCCATGGAATGTATGGAATGTGACTCCCCTGAGAGTGGATTGATCCTTTATTTCTCCAAGACACACTCGCTTTCGCAGCAGCCCTTGCTTCCTGCAGGTACCTCAGAGTCGCGTCTCTCTCACGCCTGGCCTTTCGAAAAGCCAAGGCCTCTTCCGTCTGCTTCACACCACTCGGTCCAGACTGAGAGCACTTCTCAGAGTCTGTGAATACTTTCATGGAGAAATCCTGACGCAACAAAATCATCTATACTTCCAGCCATGCGATCAACAAACATAGAAGACATGGATACTGGAAACAGATAAACATATTATTCTCCTTTACACAAAAAATCGAAGAACAAAAAAAAACACACACAGCACACATACACCAAACGCCGCTGCCATGCTAATGAAAACGGTCCAAGCCACTGCCATGCTTCCTTCTCTTGGTCGCTGCCTTCCGGAGCCACTTCGCGGCCCCATTCATCCTATCAGGCGGTGTCGTGCCTCACAGGGCCTGTCACCACTTCTCTGCCTCTTCAGTAGATAAACGGAATCTGCGTCAATCAAACCGTACAAACTGGTGTTTTGAACTGTTGAGATGGAAGAAATACCTCCCAGGTTCTAAATCTAGAAGATATCATAGAAACACATCCTGAAAGGCTCAAGGGTGGCACGGACGAAGCGTTCTCACATCTTCTCCCCCCACTCCCGTCCTTTGTTGGCCGTGCTGGCTCGGGCGGCCTCCGCAACGCCGGCCGCGGCTTCGCAGCGGCTGGCGTGGGCCGCGGCGAGGTGGGGGATGCCTGGCAGCACACCAACAGCAACATGGAATGCCTGAAATCCTGTAATCAGCATATCTTAAAAGGCCTGCCGTAATTCATCCATCAAACGTCTTCAGCGAGTTCGCCGCAGAAACGCGCACCCCGACGTCGGCCTCAGTCTTGGATGATTCCTGGCGTCGGAGGTTCGTAGTTGTTTTCGCTCTTTTGAGGCCTTTCATCCTCTACACTTGCGGTATATGCCAAACAACGGACATATTATTCGACATTCCTTTGTCACACATGTTGGCACTCCACCCCGAACTTACATCCCTGAAAAGCCCTACATCGCCGTCGCCGTCGCCATGGCCGGTGTTAGTGGTGTCCGAATCGAATCCTATCGATTCCTGGAATCCTTCATGGGCATCTTGAGTGCCCCGACTTTGCCTTCATCGCAAACACCCCCAGGAATAAGTAGGTGATGCAGTGCCAGCATATGACTCCGTCATGTGTTTGGACTCCAAACTGAAGCACAGTGTGGGGGGGGTGCATCTATGTTGGCAAGTCAGGGAGCATCATTTCTGATTACATACAGCAACTAGATTGACGTGACAAACACACACACACACATACTGCACATACTGATACAAACCAAACATCACCACACGGGACTGCCATGCAAAACGAGACCAAAAGGGGTGGTTTGAAGGCTTTGATGTTTATCGGGGTCCAGTCCCAGTCCCGAATCGGTTTAAGGGGGTGGTCGGTCCGTGGGACGTCAGAAGCGTTGGTTCTTCACGTCCTGACCAGGTTTGGCTTCACCTGTTTGACACAGGCCGTCTACCTGGGAGACCGGACCTGACCCAGGAGTTCAAGTTCGGTCACTTTCAAGAAGGGGTGCTATCCAGTCACGTTCGAGAAGGGCTGCTATCCATGGAGGAAGTCGGGTTGCCCAGAACATCCACTCACTGGATGTTCATCTGTTTTCTAGACTGTCCAGTGGACTCAATCAGCCCACGAATTGCTGCACCTCCTTTGCCTTCGACTCAAGCTCCGCCTGCAGTCAGTGGTTCAGATGATTCTACTTCTACGTCCGCTGCCTTAAACAACTAAAGTTAGGTCAGTTCTGGAGTTGATGAAGAGGGTGCAACCAAAATGGAAAGCATTGACATGCAAGTGTCTTGGAAGCGGAGCCAACAGTGTTTCCGACCGACCTACCTGATCTTTGGAGAGTCATTTTGGAAGCCCTGCAGAAAAAGCATTGCCAGTTTCGGCAAACCAAACTGGGAGTGAAACATACACTTGCATTTTGTTGTCAATGTGGGGCCAACTAGATTCTCCGTACTCCCACAAACAAAAACGAAGAAAAGCACGAATCTACGCATTCGGGGGCCCACACAGCAATGTTTCTTGATAAGTGCAAAGTCCAATGACTTCCTTCCAAAATAACTCAAAATTACCTCCAGTGCTTCACCTAATCTTCCTTGATATTCACAAAAGGTAGTTATTGGGCACTTTGACACCAAAACCACCAACAAAGCCCACGTTGCCTGCACTCCCGTCCACTTTGTTTCTACAAACCACCCTGCACAGGTTCCGCCGCGACAAGTTCC